GCGACGAATTCAAATGCAGGGAAGTAACCGAAATAGAGAAGGGTTTCACATTCCGCAATTTTTTGTCGTATTTTTTCTCCACGGTAAAATCCTTGTCGATGGTCTTTCTTTAGATATATTTTTATTACCACCTGAAAATAGATTTAGGCCCACGGACGCCATGTCAAGTTCACCAGCGAGCGAAGGGGTGGGTGGGTATATATGGACACAGATATAAACCGTGTAGAAGAAAACTTGGCAACCGCGGTGGAAAAAGGATTTCGTCACTGACTTCGTTTATCTCGACTTTTCTTCCTATTTTTAGACCTCTGCATCGCGTAGGAGTTATTAAATGTTGCAGGGGGATTCGCAGAAGAAAGAAAAAAGGATTAGATATTGATTTATTGTCCCGACTGGTTTATTACAGAGAAATTGTAAGGGCATTCTCACGCGAAAGGAATTCTCGAGAGAGTTAAGAGTTAGTGTGGGCGGTTTATGCTGTGGATTAACGCCTGAGAAAATGCTGTCCTGTTGCACCGTTTTCAGACAATCATTCTCTTGACTTTTCTTAAAATAGTAAAAACGGTTATTAACCTATCGATAAATTGAGCCCTGGGAAGTAGGAGGGTAGTTAAAAAATACGTTTTTTTCTCTTTATCTATCTATATGTCGCCCGCTCCTCTGCTTGCTCTTCTCTCTCCTCTCTCTCTCTCTCTCTCTCTCTCTCTCTCTCTCTCTCTCTCTCTCTCTCTCTCTCTCTCTCTCTCTCTCTCTCTCTCTCTCTCTCTCTCACTCTCTCTCACTCTCTCTCACTCTCTCTCTCCTCTCTCTCCTCTCTCTCTCTCCTCTCTCTCTCTCTCCTCTTCTCTCTCTCTCTCTCTCTCTCTCTCTCTCTCTCTCTCTCTCTCTCTCTCTCTCTCTCTCTCTCTCTCTCCTCTCTCTCTCTCTCTCTCTCTCTCTCTCTCTCTCTCTCTCTCTCTCTCTCTCTCTCCTCTCTCTCTCTCTCTCTCTTCTCTCTCTCTCTCTCTCTCTCTCTCTCTCTCTCTCTCTCTCTTCTCTCTCTCTCTCTCTTCTCTCTCTCCTCTCTCTCTCTCTCTCTCTCTCTCTCTCTCCTCTCTCTCTCTCTCCCCCTCCCCTCCTCCCCTCCCCCTCTCTCTCTCTCTCCCCCCCATTCTCTCTCTCCCTCACCCCATCTCTCTTCCCCCCCCCCCTCTCTCTCTCTCTCTCTCTCTCTCTCTCTCCTCTCTCTCTCTCTCTCTCTCTCTCTCTCTCTCTCTCTCTCTCTCACCCTCCCTCTCCCCTCCTTCCCTCCCTCCCTCTCTCCCTGAAATAAATGGCCTCCGAGTCTAATGTAAAGAGGTCAGGGTAGCTTGGGAACCGTACTTCGCAGACCCAGTATTGATCAAGCGAGGGAAAAAGTAATCAATGTGGTCGATGGGACACTTTGGACTATCGATCGGTCGTTGTACCAAGGGAGATCCCAGTCACGATAGATGGGTCTTCTACGCCTACGCTTTTTGGACATTAACAAGCTATAACGGTTTTGTTTTTACTTTTTTTTCTGTTCTATTCTTTTCTGTGGAGCTTGGTTTTTGGATTCTTTCTTTTATTTTCTGCTTTTTTTTAGGTTTTTTTTTTTTTTTTTTAGTTTTTTCGTGTTTCTTGTCTTTTTTTCTTTCTCTGTTCTCTCACATCTTTTTTCTTTCTTCTTTCTTCTTTTCTTTCTTCTTTCTCTTCTTTTCTTTTTCTCTCTCCCCTCCCCTCTCCTCTCCCTCCTCTGTTCCTCCCTCTCCCTTCCTTTCCCTTTCCCACTCCCTACATCCTCCCTTTCCCTCTCCTTCTCTCTCACTTTCCTCTCCTCTCCCCTCTCATTCTCCATTTAGCCAAGAATAAGTTTTGTCTACATGTTGAGACAGCTGGGGTGACCTTGACAGTGGCAGGTGCTGGCAAAGGCACCTTATCAACAGTGTTGTCATTAAGGGAAACGAAAGTCACATCTGGTGTTGGCAGAAATCGCGGGCAGAGGAGGGGGAGGAGGAGGAGGAGAGAGGGGGGGGGGGGTAGGTCGGATAGTACCTGTGGCGGGAAATTCGAATTGGCAGCCTAACCTAACAATTTTGCCGTGCGGTTGGTGTTCAGTTTATATTGGTCTAAATGGTATGTGATTTTTTTTGGGGGGAGGGGGCGTTTTCCTCTCTTCATTTTTTCATACCCTTCTTTCTCTCTCTCTCTCTCTCTCTCTCTCTCTCTCTCTCTCTCCTCTCTCTCTCTCTCTCTCTCTCTCTCTCTCTCTCTCTCCTCTCTCTCTCTCTCTCTAGCTATCTATCTTTATCTCTCTCCCCCCCCACTCTCTCTCTTCCTCCCTTTCCCCCTCTCTCCCTCCCTCCCTCCTTGTAATGATATATGTTGACGTTAAGTTCACAAAAGATGCAGTTCTTGCTAACCTAACCTTCCCTTTCTCTTTCTCTTCTCTTATTCAGTCTTTATCTTTCTTCTTTTTTTAAATCTCATCCTCTCTATCCCATCTTGTCACTTCATACCGCTCCCTCTCCCTCTTTTCTTTCCTCATGTCTTCCACACCTCCCTCCCTCCCTCCCTCCCTCCTTTCATTAATTCCCCCTCCCCCCTTTCAGTGGTTCTCTCCTCCCTCCATTCCTCTTTCCACTCCCTCTCTCTTTCTCTCCTTCCACTCCTATTCCCTCCCACCCCCACCCTCCTTCCACTCCCTCACACTCCCTATATATATTCCTTCTCCTTCCTCCTCCCATTCCCTCTTCCTCCTTCCTTGCATCCACTCCCTCCACTCCTCTATATAGGCCTCCCTCCTTTCCTTGCAT